TCACACAATTTTGACATTGTTTTATTATTTGTCTAGCTTGTTCCTTAGTTATTTTAAAACGCTTTTGTAAAGTATTAGCATTGACATGGAACTTTTTATGAAAATTTATAGCTTCTTCTAGTGTAGAGAAAATATGTATGTCATGTGTAGTTTTATCTGCTAAATCATTGCCCAAACTAAGGGCTCCAGGCAATCCTGTATGTGCCCTGATATGTCCTATAAAGAATGGATCTTTTCTGTCCCAGATTAGACTTTGTATAGTGGAAAGCAAAGAGAAAACAGTAGAAGAAGGGGAAATCCTACCAGCATCTTCAAGAGATACTATAGCATTAACTACATACTGACTATCAGAAAATAAATTAAATACAGAATCTTTAAACATCACAAAAGCTTGTAAAACTGCATTAAGCTCTACCTTTTGAGCTGATTGTTTGGGTACTAAAAATGTAAAAGTTTGATCAGGGGTAACTACTGCTGCTGTACCATTATTTGACCCATCAGTGAATATATTTGGAGCATTCATGATAGGTGTTTTTCTTGTCATTTTTGGAAAAATTACAGGATGCAATGACCAAAAAGACAATAAAGGATTTGATGGTAAGTGGTTATCAAATGAAACATTAGATTTGCACATGATTATTGCCCAAGTATTTAACTCATTAGCTAACTCATCAATTTGATTCATAGTATATGGAGTAATAATTTTATTGGGAGAAATTCCAAACACTCCCTTTGCTGCTTTTATTCCTTTGAGTATTAATTGTCCTACAGCCTCAGGATACCTAGTAAGAATAGTGTTAGGAGAATAAGATAAATGTATCCATAATAATGGACCTTCTTGCCAAAATACTCCTGTAGGAATATTTTTTGTTGGTAGTACAATAAATAATAAAGGCAAACTTATATCAATTCTATCCAAATGCATATTTTCCATATATGTTTCAATGATTTTTAATGCCTTTCTTGCTTCAGGCGTTAACATTCGGGGTGAATTTGGTTCTGATGGACCTTTTAGGATATCAAATAAAGGTCCCAACTCTCCTGTTGGTATACCTAAATAAGGCCTTATCCAATTTATGTCTCCTAATAACTTTTGAAAGTCATTAAGTGATTTGAGTTGATCTACTCGTATTTGAATTTTTGGAGGACAATACCTGTTATGGAAGGTTGCCAATGAGGAATTTTGCAAGGAGACGGCTAGGCGAAATGCAGCAGCTGGTTATCCTCAGAGAAATCTAGATATGTTGTTAGGAAAGGGACCTTATGAGGATCAGCAGCAACAAATTGCATATGATCCTGGTGTACATGCACAAATTGCTGTAGATGCAATTAAGGCATGGAAGACTTTACAAGGACATGGAGGTTTACAAGGTCAATTATCTAAGGTAATACAAGGAGCTAATGAACCTTATGCTGAATTTGTAGATAGGCTTATTCAAACAGCTACCAGAGTTTTTGGGAATACAGAACAAGCAATGCCATTACTAAAACACCTGGCTTATGAGCAAGCGAATCGTTGGTGCAGAGATATCATTAGACCATGGAAACATGAAGATTTAAACACATATATTAAATTATGTAGAGACATTATTGAACAAGAGCAAGTCGTGGCAGCTGCAGTAAAACAGGCTTTAGATGCCAGAGATATTAATGAACAAGGGCAAATTGTGGCAGCTGCAGTAAAACAGGCTTTAGATGCCAGGCCAAGAACATGCTACAATTGTGAACAAACAGGACATTTTAAAAGGAATTGCCCCATTGGAGGAGGGTTTAACAAAACTAGGTATCAAAGGAGTAGAATACCAGGTATTTGCCCACGATGCCGTAGAGGGAGACATTGGGCTAATGAATGCCGTTCTCAAACCACCATAGAGGGTACTCCATTATCAAAAAACGAACAAGGACCAGGTGTTTATCCACGATATCGTGGAGAAAGGCATCGGGCTCCATTGCCAAAAAATGGACAGGGGGGCCCAATGCTCCGGGGCCCAAAACCACAAATATACGGAGCACTGGAGGAACCCAGCAACCCCATCAGGGTAGTGCCCAGGACACATTGTCCATCAGATCCCTCATCAGACAAACCAGAGGGAGCGCAGGGTTGGACATCTGCGCCTCCGCCAGAGCAGTACTAACTCCAGAGATGGGAGTTCAAATCATTCCCACAGGGGTGAAAGGACCTCTTCCCAAAGGAACAGTAGGCTTATTATTGGGACACAGCTCTTCTACTCTAAAAGGACTTATGATAAGTCCTGGGGTAATTGATCCCGATTATGAAGGTGAAATAAAAATTATAGCCAGTTCTCCAAAGGGTATATCAGTAATTTCACCAGGAGATAGAATAGCACAGTTACTAATAATACCCAGCCTACGTGATAAATTTTCCAGTCGTACTGTAGAAAGAGGTTCCAAGGGATTAGGCTCCACAGGTGTAGATTGGGCTATGCTTTCTTTAAATTTAGATTCTCGCCCCATGCTAAAACTAAATATTCAAGGACATGAATTTAATGGGCTACTGGATACAGGTGCAGACCTTAGCATCATCTCTCGTCAAGAATGGCCAAAACATTGGCCATTACAAGAAGCCACTCAAACGCTTCGAGGCCTAGGAGTGGCAACTAATCCCCATAGAAGTGCAATGGTATTAGATTGGAAGGATCCTTTAGGATGTGAAGGAACTATACAGCCATATGTATTGGATCATCTTCCCGTAAATTTATGGGGATGAGATGTCCTAGATCAATTAGGTTTGACATTAACAAATAACATCAACCAAAATGCACCCACTATTATGACTAGACAAGGTTTTAGGAAAGGAAAAAGATTAGAAAAACAAGAACAAGGTATAGCAGCACCAATACAAATAGATCAAGGAACAGACAGACATGGGTTGGATTTTCAGAAAGGGCCACTGAGACAATAAAAATTACTTGGAAATCAGAAAGACCAGTATGGGTTCCTCAGTGGCCCCTGACTAAAGAAAAGATACAAGCAGCCCATGACCTGGTCAAACAACAATTAGCAGAAGGACATATACAACCTTCTGTATCTCCCCATAATACTCCCATTTTTGTCATCAAAAAGAAATCTGGTAAATGGAGATTATTGCAAGATTTAAGAGCCATTAATAATGAGATGGTTATTATGGGACTTGCTCAATCAGGGATTCCTCAGTTGTCTGCTTTGCCAAAAACCTGGTATGTTTTAGTTATAGATATTAAAGATTGTTTTTTTTTTCAATTCCAATTCATCCTGAGGATAGTCCACGTTTTGCATTTACTATCCCTGCACTGAATCATGAAGGTCCTGATCAGAGATATGAATGGAAAGTACTCCCTCAAGGGATGGCTAACAGCCCAACTATGTGTCAAATTTATGTTAACAAAGCAATCCAGCCACTTAGAAATCAAAATCCTGAACTACAAATATTTCACTATATGGATGATGTATTATTAGCACACAAAGATAAAAACATACTGCTAGAATGTTATGCCACACTTACAAATTTATTAAAAAATTATAATCTAGAGATAGCAATAGATAAAGTACAATTAAATTTTCCAATTAATTATTTAGGAGTTCTATTATCCTCAACCATGGTCCGTCCACCAAAAATTCAAATACGAGTAGATCAACTCAAATCACTTAATGACTTTCAAAAGTTATTAGGAGACATAAATTGGATAAGGCCTTATTTAGGTATACCAACAGGAGAGTTGGGACCTTTATTTGATATCCTAAAAGGTCCATCAGAACCAAATTCACCCCGAATGTTAACGCCTGAAGCAAGAAAGGCATTAAAAATCATTGAAACATATATGGAAAATATGCATTTGGATAGAATTGATATAAGTTTGCCTTTATTATTTATTGTACTACCAACAAAAAATATTCCTACAGGAGTATTTTGGCAAGAAGGTCCATTATTATGGATACATTTATCTTATTCTCCTAACACTATTCTTACTAGGTATCCTGAGGCTGTAGGACAATTAATACTCAAAGGAATAAAAGCAGCAAAGGGAGTATTTGGAATTTCTCCCAATAAAATTATTACTCCATATACTATGAATCAAATTGATGAGTTAGCTAATGAGTTAAATACTTGGGCAATAATCATGTGCAAATCTAATGTTTCATTTGATAACCACTTACCATCTAATCCTTTATTGTATTTTTGGTCATTGCATCCTGTAATTTTTCCAAAAATGACAAGAAAAACACCTATCATGGCTGTCTACTGCTTCTTTTCTTATGACCTTTTATCAAGTTGACAAAAAGCGAAACTCAGGAACATTTTAGTGAAAGGTACAGTTTAAGTTACAATCTTTGGTCAACATCAGACAAAGGCTTGTAAGATACTTGGCTCTTAAAGAATATATGGACCCATTCAAATAGCCACCCCTCTCTAAATAGCAACAACATCCTTGGTGAAGGTGGGAATCCAAGAGGGGTCAGAAGGAAAAAAAACGAGGCAGAATGGAGGGGTGTAGTAAACTCAGTCTTCACCTGGGGTTAATTTTGTGTCCACTAAACACTGATTCCACGTATGCTCATGATCCTCTACTAGTAAGATTGTTGTTGTTGTTGTTGTTTTTCCTGGTAACAGACAAGACTGGTTGCCTTTCAGATACTGAAGGATAAAAAAAAATTATTTTAGGATAAACTGAATGTTCTGAGTTGGCAGACAGAGTCCCTTGATGTATTTGTAGCAATCAGAAATCTGTTTTATACTATTTAAATCAGAACTTACTTATTAAGTCACTGTATGAGTCATGGCCAAATCCCTCAACTAGCATAGTTTCAGTTGGTATTCACATTCTAAGATATTAAGCTATTGGGCATTCTGGTGTTTATAACACTTGGTGATTTTGTTACTGAAAAAGTCCAAATGTGATGAGTTAAAATAGCTTATTCAACTCCTTATATGTGACTTTAATAAAATATCAAAAAAGCATGTGTGCCAGTACATCAAAGACTGCAAGCATCCAAAGAACATCACCAATTTACAACTTTATTGTAACTATTTATCACTATAACACTAAGAAAAAAACACTTTAATATGCTTTATTTTCAACAAGTCAAACATTTACAATTACAACTTTTGCTGAGAATGTTTACAATACAGGAATTTTCAACAGAGTTAACTTAGGAAGGACTGCTTTTGAGAAGAAAGCAAAATGATGTCAGTACATGTTTTTATCCCGTAGCATTGTTTCTGTGAAAAATTAGTGGGCATCTGTGAAAAAAAGAAAAAGAAAAACTAAATTAGATTCAAGTGTAAATGAGCATATAAATTATATATATATATATATATTTCATATAAATTTCTATAATTATATTGTCATAGTGTAATAACATGGTATCTGAGATATTTCCCAGCTGTTCTTCAGTTTGTATATTTTTTACTATTATCAGTTAGTATTTCTCTGAAGGAGATATTTGTTTTGCCCCTTTCTAGATTAGGTTAGGTTAAATAGGCTTTTTTTTTCCTTTGACGAATCAGATTTTTGCTATGCCTATCAATTTTTCTACTTTGCCACCTTTTAATTTTTTCTGTTATTTCTTCCTTCTGTTTTCCTGAGACTCATTTTACTATTCTTTCTTGTCTTAATGAATTAAATCCTTAATGTATTAATTTTTCCTTGCTTACTCTAGGTCTTGAAATTTTCACTAAATAGGGCTTTGAAAAAGTCTCCTGAGATCTAATATACAGTATTTTCCCCTCTAGGTATTGTGTGATTTTGGTGTCAATGTATTCTTTAGATAGAAATGATGTGTTTTAGTTTTGTTTCTTTGAAGAAAATATTAAGAACTTTACCATACTTAAGCTGATATAAATGAAATATTAGCAAAAAATATATTCAGGAAAGAATCTGAATTTACTATTACATAAATTTTATATTTCTGTGCTATAAATTTATCAATCTGTATTTCAGTTTGATTTCAAAATTTATAGTCTAATAAAATGTTATGGCCAGGTATGATGGCACATGCCTATCATCCTAGTGACACAGAGGCTGAGGCAGGAGGATTACAAATTCTAAGCCAACCTACACAACTTAGTGAGACCCTGTCTTAAAAAAAAATGAAAAATAAAACAAAAAACAAACAAACAAAAAGGCTGGGGATATAGCTCAGTAGTTGCATGCCCCTGAGTTCAATCCCCAGTACATCCCCCACACAGATATTAGGATTAGCATATTTTTTAAATTTATGGGGCTAGTCACCAGCCACTGTCCTTATATGTTTAATAAATATTGGTTAATCCCACCAGCTACTAGCTACTGAGTTTCTACTGTGTGCTCCATACTGAGATAGGAACTATGAAAGTACCAAAGTAGAAATTATGTTCTCATGTCTTTCTACATTTTCTTAATTCCCTAGAAACCATTACATCATAAGCTTTTATAAAGATTCTTTGAATGTAAGTTATCTGGAGGACGGAAATGAATTCAGTCTGTAAATCCTGGTCCATCATGATGGATGCTGACTACCATAGTAAGAATGCCCTCTCTGCATGATACTACTTTCACAATAAAATATGCCGAGGCTGATGTCTCCAAAACCAATCATGATGATTACCATTGTGGTTCTGTCTGAAAAATATGATGGGCAAAGCAAATCTGGACCTAAAATACTGGTATTTTCTATCATATAAAACCCTCATTGCCTCTATAGGTGTAGCATTTATATAAAATATTAGTGTATGCATACAATCAAATAATAGAAATATATTGAATATAGCTTAATTTGTCAATGTTTGAAACCAACAAAAATTTTCAAATTAGGTTGAACTGTGAAACATATACCAACATTTCATTTTTATTTATTTACTTATCTATTATTTTTTTCAAAAATACATACCATTTTAAACAAAACTTGCTGACCTTCTTCCATTACGTGGCTGAAAAATAATAAATTAGAAATAAATCAGTGAAACTACAAATGGCAGCTAATACTAATAGAATATTGATATATCATAATGAAATAGAGGAAGGTTTATTTAATGTACATCAGAGTCATCTGGAAGGCTTTTGACAATGCAAAAATGGGACATCTGGACCCCATAGCTGGAGTTTCTAAGTCTGAGGTGGGCCCCCAAGTTTATATTTCTAACAAGTTCTAAGGTGCTGTTAAAGCTGCTTAAGACCAACAATAAATTACATACTATTTGATTTTTTAATTAATTAATTATTTTATTTATTTATTTTTGAATTACAATTCTTAATACACCATTATACCATAATTTATCATATCTCCCATTTGATTTTGTTATTTCCTTGATGGTGCCAAATTTTTAGAAAAAATGATCTGAAATTTAATTTGATATGAACCAAAATTAACTTACTGAAGTCACAGTTATTTAGTATTATGTTTTCCTGCTGTCAATGTAGTTCCTTCATCCAATCTAGTCTCCCAAGTTGCTGTTAGATTTTCCAAAATACAAATCTTACCCTATGGCCTCCTTTACCCGCTTAGTTTTCAAAGTAAAGTTGAAAATTTTCAACTAAATATTTCATCAAGCAATTTCTGTTGATTTCTGAAGAAATCAGCCCATGAAGATTTCTCTGTATCTCTCCCACCTTCTTTTTTTTTTTACTCTACATCCCCTAGACTTAAGAAGTATTTAACACAATACAGTCAGCCTATGAACCACCTCCAAAAATATTTCTTGCAAAAATTGCATCTATAGTAAACACATACTGAATTGGGTTTCTTGTCATTATTCCCTAAACAATACAACAACTATTTCCATTTCATTTACATTGTGTTAGGTGATATAAGTTATCTAGAGATGATTTATAATATATAGGAAGATGTGCTAGGGTTGATTACTAAAGGATGACTATATTTTATATTTGTTTACTTATCTATTTCCTCTACTAGACTATAAACTCCTAGGGTGTGGGAATTGAATTCTGTTTTTATTCCCATGCCTTGGTACAATGTACATCCTCAGTAAAAGTACAATAATTGTTGTTGAATGAATTAATCAAATTTTTCTGGTAATGTAATAAGGAGCAAATATTTCAGAAAGTATAGCTGCTTAGAAAGAAACCCACATTTCATACACAAATTTGGACATACAAAATGAGAAATGTAATCATAGTATTTTACAAAATGAGAAATGCAATCACAATTTATCTTTACAGAAACTATTGTAGTTGAGTCTTTGAATTTTAAAAATTTGTGAACTTTAAAAATTTAAAAAAATTTTTCAAATTTCCAATCTACTTCATCAAAAATTTAGCAAATGATTCCTTGGAATGTAAGGAACAATGTGTCTTTAAGATATTTATATCCTATGTATGAAATATTATGGAATTAAGTTATTAAGTAGGTGAATGTCATTTGAGGTATTTATGAATATGAGTAGTGAATCAGAGTAAAGATTAAATATGCTATAGCATAGAAGCAATAAGACTGACAGAAATGAATGTCAGATTGTAACATCTGATGTCAAATATCAATACACTTTAAAACGTATGAATTAATTAAATGTACAGTGAGAAGTATTTTTAACTTTGATATTAATTGACTTTTAAAAAGTACAGCATGTGCCTACCCTAAATAAAAAGTATCCTTTACTTCGACTTGCAAAAGGACTTTGGAATTCTTCCTGGAAGAAAAGAGGAGGGCATTACAAATCAAATAATGCTAAAAATAAGTGAAAATTCTTCTAAAGAGCATAGTGAGGCTCAAAGTTACTTTTAACTACTATAAGCACAGAGGACATCAAGGGCTTGAGTAAATAATTAATATCAGTAGAGAAACATATTATTTCCTGAAAATTTCAACAAGTAGCAGTATCATCAGAATACTATATCAAAAAAATATTTTTCTTATCAACATAACACATTCTTTTTCAGGAATTTTGTCAACTGTACATGTATTCATCAGCAGGTAGAAAGGTAGCTGTCAGGCATATCATTATTAATTATATTTAAAATGTCCTTTCACCATTTTGTTAGAGAATAAAATAATTTCTTTAAAATATATGTTATTGTAATCCCAGCTACTTGGGAGGACAGGGTAGGAGGATCACAAGTTCAAGGCCAGACTGGGCAACATATCAATACCCTGTCTCAAAAAAATATAAGTAAAGAAATAAATACGTAAAATAAAATATATGTGTTATACATGAACAAGAAACAATATAAATAAGAATTGTGACAAAACCAAAAAATATGGGCTGGGGTTGGGGCTCAGTGGTAGAGTGCTAGCCTAGCATGCATGAGGCACTGGGTTCAATCCTCAGCACCACATAAAAAATAAAATAAATTTTGTGTTTTCATTGGAGATATAGCAAAATTTGGGAGATAGGGATAAGACATGAGATGGCAATCAAAAAATAAAATAAATGTATTATGTATATCTACAATTAAAGACATATACATATATATATTCAATATATATATGTAAAAACCCCCCAAAATATAAATATTAACCAGAATTGTGTCAAAACAATAATTATATAGTTATATAGATTGAAATTGAAGGACAACTTTGGAAAACCATGTTTATTCAATGATATTTTAGAAGAGATTTTCCTAATTGAATTATTTGTACAGAATGGTAGTAAAAAAAAAAATGAATTACTCATAATGGGTATGTTTTGTTGTGTGTGTTTTTTTTTTTCTTAAACATGTCCTTTCAAACTTAATGGAAAAATCTTTAACAATTATGGTTTCCATAAAATTGGTTTGTAGCTTCCTATTTCCATTAACAATTATTGATTATAAAAATATTGACAGAATGACAATATAAAGTTTATCAATCAAGACTTTTTTCAAATATTCCATAAGTAAATAATATTCTTAAATTCTAAGAAATAGCTCTGATATTTATTTAAATTCTGAAATCTTTGATTTATAATAAATGCATCTTAAATTCTCAATATTGAATTTAATTCTCATTTTTACTGTAACCCCCCAAAACTACTAAAGATTGAAAAATTAGTATTTAAGAATATATACATAACTACTTAGTTGCCTACATGAGAAAAATTCTTGTGACTATTAAAGAGAAAAAAGGTAGAACAAATTAAAATGCATCAAATATTTAAAACTTTCAGATGTAAAACTCATACAGTTTTTGTTTTCTTTTCATTGGTGATAGAGCAGAATTGGGAGGTAGGGATAAAGACATGAAGATGGCAATCAAAATTCAAGAAAAGTGTTTAAATTCATTAAGATCTGAAAATTCATTTTCTTCGAATATTCAAAATATTTCACTATCAAAAATCTATACATTAGGGCTGGGGATATAGCTCAGTTGGTAGAGTGCTTGCCTCACATGCATAAAGCCCTGGGTTCAATACCCAGCACCACAAAAAAAAAAAAAATCAATATATTAGGTGACTTAGGCAGCATAGTTAACACTATTGCATTTTTTAAAAATTCATCTCTTACATTCTTTTTTATCATAGGTTCCCAGGAATCTTGACTTACTGCAAAATACTTTGAGGATCAGATACTATAGATTATTCAGTCAGCGAGTTCACCTCTTCAGCCAGTTGTATGGATGGATAGATGGGTTCAACCAGCCACAACACTGAATGTTTATCTTTGGATGTGTAAATAAAAACACTGAAGTAAAGTTGTTAAATTAATAATTGTTGGTGTATTTTAAGAAACTGGATCTAAAGTTTAAATTTTACACTATTTCTAAGTTAAGCAAACATTTTGGGTAATAAAAGGTAAAAAAAAAAAGTTTAAAAAGCATATATTACTTTTTAGGAAGTCCAATGAGAACTGCGTTTTTGTTTTTCATTCTGGAAATTCTAAAATTTGAAGGGCAACTACATTCTCTCTTACATTTCTCTTTAAAATTAGTAGCAGATGCTGTCCTTGATGGTATCCTAGTATTAAAATGTGAAGAATTTAGGGAGACAATTGTCGTTTGCCTATACTGTATGATTATTTTTAAAGTATTTGAAGTTTAGATAACACTTTAAGAAGAATAATGTAGATATGGTATTGAAATTAGGAAAAATTTGACCTGAATTCATCTTTTAATAATAAAGTATGTCATTTAACAATAAAATAACCAAAGTATCTAAGATTAAATTATAAAGGGAATATCATTATGAAAAAAATATTTGCCTAGATTAAAGGTCAGAAGACTATGTAATCTGTCTTTTAGTCTGATCTGGGAGAACTCCTTTATTCTAAATTGTTCTATAAACTAAAATAACAGTACTTGTGTAAATACTAACAGAATTCCCAAAAGAATAAAATGAGATAATATAAGGAGAAAATTATAATGTGTTGCAATGATGTGAGGCATTACTTAAAAATATTACCTAGGAACTTTCAGCATTGAAAAACATTAAGATTCTTCTTAAACATTAAAAATTCCACAGTTTCTAGTTAAGAATATGTTAATTTGGTTATATATTCATCTTACACATAGAATTTAGGTCAAATTTTGTTAATTGTGGGAAAAAAACTATGTACATTCAGTTTATGATTTGTATATTTCATAATATTTACTCCTATCAACATTTTAACACTTGGATAAGAAATGTGCCTGTCCTAGCTATGTGCCAACACGAATGCAAAGGGCAGTTACATTTTATTCTATTTATTCCCCTATTCCTAAAGACTAGACACCCTGCAGTGTCCTTTCCTACCCCAAGAACAGGTTTTTCTCATTGGGAGGGCCACGAAGGAGTGTAAACCCAGACTGCCTGACATCGGGAGCTTGGGTCAGAAGGGGCAGACCATGGGGTGCACCAGGGGTTGAAGAATTCCCTTCCCAGGCATGAACACACCTGCGCACACCGGGCCGGTACCGTGGCTAACCGAGTATATGCGTGCCGCTTATCCTGAACAAAAGCATCTCATAAACCACCATACTGGGAATTCACAGAGTGGCAAAGCAAACATGCAGTGGGTGTTACATACGTCCACTTTGAATCTCTTCATTCTTCTCTCATGCAGTTGAGGAACGAGCTGCAGCAATGGATGCACCACAGATGACTGAGAGGACATGAACACACACAGGACATGAGCACAGGGGCTTGTCGGCATTGGGCATACAGAAGGTTTCCTGCTTTGCTTTGCTCTGTTTTTGTTTTACTGACTATATTTGCCCCAGAACCACACCCCAATAAAAAAAGGAAATTAAAGATGTTATTTAAGACAGCTCTTTGTAAGCACTTCAAAGAACTGGGGTGAAAAAGTCAAGAGATGGAATAAGATTTTTATTATTATTTGAAACGCAGCTTCCTGAGGGCCTCTGCTCTGTCCTCAACTGCCAAGTAAAACCCCTCACCTCATCTCTGGAGGCGGAAGGCCATCTATTGGCTTCTAGACATACTCAAAATAGTTTGGTCCAGATGAAACCAACTTGTGAATATCAGTTTTCCATGATGAGCATGTTTATCTGGAAGGTTATACTTTACACTTATCTAGTAACCTTCTTATAAATTACATATTTACAATGGAAACATACGGAGCAAGACACTGGGGACATGAAAATGACAATGTGTTGATGGTGAAAATGGGGTTGAGATATATTTTTCTTAAAAGGTAAAGATGCCAAGGAGAAGACAATGAAAACACAGCTGAGCCAAAGTTGCCTGATATGGTTGCATTTTTTCTAAGGTATACGGATCAATTTCAGCCTTCTCATTAATATCAAAATTGCTTATCAAATGGATTACCTTAAGCCCTACATATGGCTATCTGTTCATGAAATCAACTTGTATTAGGTGTATAGCCAGTCTGACCTCACTTTTTCAAGTGCTCATATGTCAGAATATTCCATTCGATAGATAAACACTTAAAACTGAGTTTTAAATTTACATGTGCACATTTATTTATTGTGTGTGTGTGTGTGTGTGTGTGTGTGTCTGTGATGCTGAGGATCAAACTCAGGGTATCACTCATGCAAGGACTCTGCCACTGAGCTTCCCCTAGCCCCATTCAGCCTTTTTTTTTTTTAAATCCATGCAAATAAAAAGAAAAACTACCACTGAAAACACACAAGTTTGGACTAAACTGATTTCATGTTACTGGTTTCTGGCTAAACTTTGTAAATTCTCCCATTAAATGTCCAATGATTGATAAGGAATAAGGATTATACATATAGAAGAGGATATTTCTAGTTATATTTAATTACATCTTGATTTTTGATCCTCTTTTTAAATAATTATTAAAAAGCTTTGAATAAAACTATTTTTCCTTGCATCAACTACCATCCAAAATAATGTTTTATTTCTTTCTTTTCTTGTTTTTTTTTTTCCCCTCCATAAACTGTAAATTACAGGAGGGAAGGGGTTTCTTTTTTAAATGTTGTTTTGCTTACTGCTATATTTCTAGACTTAAAACTTTACTTGGCACATAGTAGATACTCAATAAATGTTAAACGAATGAATGAATGAATATAATGTACATGTAGTTGTTGACATGTAAAATAAATCAAATGTATAGTAAATACTGACTTCCATTCTCACTGACATAATAAGCTTTTAAGGTAAGAAATCTGAATTTTGATCAAGTTATATTAGATAAATTGCAAAAGCATATGCTTTCTTTTAACTAATACTAATTAGACTAATAATAATAAGTAGTTCTCCAACTTACCACAACATTTGAATTGCCCAACTTTTGTGTCTTCGAATAATGAAATAAGAACTGTTTAAAGAAAAAACAGTAAGTAATACATAAAAAAATTAGTGGAAATCAGTGGATTTTTAAAATTGTTTTCTAATTATATATATTTATAAAAATCACCTTACCCGTTTAGCATTATCTTTTTCATCTTGTTCCTATTGAAAAATATATATAATCATTATCTTAGATGTTATAAAATTATTTATAAATTTAAAATTTACAATAGGCTACACAATTAGACCATATACTTTTTAAAAAACATGATGTGCATTACATATAAAATATAAAACTGAAATAAGTATCAGTTACTCTACAAATAAATGGGAAATAAATACTGTTCATAAAGAAAGATGTGAACAACAATCCTTACAACATTTTTCACAAGAGTAAAAGCTGGAAACATCCTACATGTTCAATGTGGTGGAATGGGAAATTATAATATAATTACATGATGGAATATCCAGAGAAAAGGACCAAGTGAATCGCATCAAAATACTTGTCATTGTTATGACTGAATAATAAGATTATGAGTTATTTTGCTTTCTTCTATAAGCTTTTCTAAATTCTTCTCCCCCTCCAAAAGTCTGTTTTTAAGAGTCATAAAATTTCTTTTTTGTTGTTGTCATTGTTCTTTCTTGTTTTTTTTTTTTTTAATACAAAAGGAAAAGGATGGATACTCACCTTTGTCATTTCTTCTATCTTTATTAGAAAAAAAGTCAGTTAAGTTTTTTGGAAAATGCCACTATTAAACATAATAGATAATATATAGTTGTGTCTAGAGTTTCAGATAACAGTCAAACCATCAAGGTTTCTTTCTTTGAATTTTTGTATATGCAAGGGATACACATTAGAGTGCACCAATGATCCACAGGTTAAATTAGTTACTCATGAAAAAATGTAATTTTAAACTCAAGACTTTTATCTTTAATACAGTAGTTTTAAAATAATTTCAATCCTTTCCTACGATATGGAAGAGAAAATGAGGCATAGTGCTTATGCTTACTTAAGTTCTTATCTATCTTGCCTTAGGACAAAAAGTTCTCCCAGAACGATTAAATCATTTATATAAGAAACCAGGACATGAAAGTAAGACTATAATTTTCAAAATGACATTGACAATATGATTTTGCTATTTTTACTTTTTTTCCTTCTATTTTTGATAGTGCTGGGGATTCAACCCAAGACTTTATACTTTGCTAGGAGAGTATCACTGAGCCACACCCCCCCACCCTGCTTTTGCATTCCTAAGTGTTCTACTCGCTAAAGAAGTACAATCTCCTAACCTCTGAACCATAAGACATATTTGGCAGCTTAGAAAGATGCATCTGGTCTCCAATTGTAGTATGAGTCAGGGAGAAAAATACAGCCAATATGACCACAAATTTCTCCCATCAGACTGGAATCATTTTATAATTGAGGGAGGCATATAATTTCTCAATTAGATGATTCTAAACTCCATTAACATGACCCTAAATTATCAGGCAACAGACAAACCAAAGTATTTTTTTCTTATGCAAAAAAAATCAATGTTTCCTCTTCTAGTTCCTCTTGGAATACTTCCAAAAAGGGCATACTTTGTTCCAAGAGGAAGTCCAAGAATTTTTTAGGCAATGTTTCTTTTGCCAAAAAACCAAAACCCTATTTCAATCTTACCTGAGGCTTTGGTAGAATTCCCATCACCATAAAGCAAAACTCTTTCAGTGCAGTGGATGCCTAAGAAAATGAGAAAATGTATCTGCTTGCACAGTGTCTGCAGAGAAGATGTAACTCACAATATTAGGAGCACAAGAATATTCTAGCTACCCAGTAAAGAATTCTTGCTGTGGGCCACCGGAACTCTATTGGAATCCCTTGATTTGTCTCATTACAAAAACTTGACTGTTAAAAGTAAAACCTTCCTTCTTCCTTCTGATCAGAGCAACAGCAACAACAACAATTAAAAAAGGCTGGCTATACACACTGGTTAAGGCCTCCACTGTGGTCCAGTTACATAGTTCTCGGCATTTGCTCTCATGAAACTCTATGACTAAGAGTAACCAGGGCAGTGCCAAATAGGGATTAGTCTGCCCAGCTTGTAGCAAAGTGCATCTACATGCCAAAGCCATGAGCCTTGCTGAGTATTACTCATTATTGGCTAATTTGAAAATCCTGCAATTGCTCCCAAACAATGGGAACAGGAGGAGAAGCAGCCATGTGTGGTGCCCTTAATCTGAGTACCACCCTTCCAGCTTGCTGACTGCACTCCCCAGGATCAGGTTTGTCAAAGCATTTGGGCTCAGAAGTAGGGCAGGGCTCTTTGTGGTTAGCAGCCAGCTGGGTGTGGTAAGGAGTAGCACAAACGGACAAGCAGGGGCAAAACCTGCACTGCACAGGATCTAGCACAGTATACCAGGAGACAATTGATTGCTTAATAAATGCATTTTGGAAGTAATGAAGAGCTGGGACAATCGGGGGCAATATAATTAGTGGTTAAAATCGTGAACTATGGATGTGGGCAGCCTGTAACTCTACAGCACAAATTCCATTTCTACTCTAAATAGCTGTGTTGCATTGCCCTGGGCCAGTTTAATCTCTCTAAACTTCAGTTTCTTAAGCCAGGAATCAGGGGTGACATCATTGCAGGGAGTTCCTGGAAGGATTAAAGGTGAGTAAAAGTCTTAAGTTTGATTTACAGATACAGTTACTCTTGATTAGAAGAGATGTAAAAAGTTGTTTGCAGCCGCCAATATTCTCACCCTTGGAAATACAGCGCACACTTAGCATGGCTGGTTGTGGTCAGAGGTACAGTGAGAGTCATGACACAGTACCTCTGTGTGTCCTTCCTGGCATCGGAAGCCTGCTCTTCTCTTCTTTTCATTTGTTTGCCTGCCATGCAAGTTGTTGAGCTATTTATTAATAATATTAAATGGTCTATGTTTATAGTGTTTCAATAAATTACAGACACTTTCTTATACATGGATTGCATTCAGTCCTTAAAACACAAGAGTGAGGTACACTGGACAGCAATGGTTATTCTCATGGATAGAGGAAGTGGGTTCTAAGAGATTATCACTTGTCCACTCCCATGAAAGGCTAGTTTTCACTAGAGCATGGCCTGACCTATCGTTATTCCTGTGCTGCAATGGCATTGTCTGTTAAACCTGTAGTTAAGAGCTAATGTTTCCTATCTGCCCCCTCTTCACCCCCAGTACTGGATTGAATCCAGGGGCTCAGGCAAGCTAGGCAAGTGCTCTACCACTGAGTTAGCCTGGGCAGTTGGGAGTCAAACAAGAGAAAATGGTCATGTGAACATCAATACATCGCTTCTCACTTGTTCCCTCTCAGGTCACCCCATGAAATCTGGAAATAAAATCCCTAAAGCACCTTTTATGGTCCATGTAGAAATAATACAAAATATAAAGCAGTAAAACAAAAATATTTGGACATTAAAAGTAAAATTACATATGAAAGTTGTTTCTCCTTAGAAAATGGTTTCTAGGCCAGATGAGGCTTGGCAATAAGATTGAATTTGACTGGAAAAGTTTAAAAACAAATGCATTTGCCCTAGTTCCCTTTATAAGAAGCCATTATTCTCAAACATTCTTTAGGTATTTAAAAAAATTTAAATATCTTTTTTAGTTGTAGATGGGTACAATACTTTTTGTTTATTTATTTTTATGTGGTGCTAAGGATCAAACCCAGTGCCTCACACTTGCTGGACAAGCGCTCTACCACTAAGCTACAATCCCAGCCCCAAGGATTTTTTTATATATAAAATTTTGGGGGGGGCTAGGATTGTGGCTCAGCGGTAGAGCGCTCGCCTAGCATGGGCGGGACCCGGGTTTGATCCTCAGCACCACATAAAAATAAAGGCATTGTGTTATGTCCATCTACACCTAATAAAATAAATATTTTTAAAAAATTAAAAAAAATAAAATTTTTACTCTTTTATTTTTAATTTATGGGCCTTAAAAATCTTTTATATTCTATTTGGCAAAACCACTTTAAAGCACTGTTCAGATAATCAATAAGTAATAAAATAATATGGTGAGAATTAATGATGTTTTTAAAATGTAGCAAAGTACAATACAATTTGCATTGTAAGTGTAAAATATTGAGTAGCAAATTTACCAAGCTCTTCTTACACAGAACTGAAACCAATAAAAGGTTGGTTTATCTTGATGGGGGTTTAAAGTGAGTGCTTTGAAATTCACCCTTCTGGTACTTAAAATATAAAAATGATTCTGAAGATGCTTCTGAATTTTACAAACAACAGAAGCACTTATATGCTAATATCCATCTCATGTTATACATCTGTAAACATTCTTTGGGTAACACGCTCCTGGGTTCAATCTCCAGTGCATATACACATCAAAAAAAGAAAAAGAAAGAAAGGAAGGAAGGAAGGAAGGAAGGAAGGAAGGAAGGAAGGAAGGAAGGAAGGAAGGAAGGAAGGAAGGAAAAAAAAAGAATAAAAAGCCACCTATTGTGATCCTAATCTTGCTTTACCACCTAATACCTCTAACTTCCTGCAGGTGATCCTTCTTAGCCTGGGGACTGGGCAGAGCTAGGTAAAATATAGCACTTCACAAAACTATTCTCTACACCAGTCATGGCAGCTGTCTATAAGGACTATGTGAACGACAGCCTGGGCCCTTTGGCAGGAGTATGTAGGAAGTTTGTACCAGAAACATACTAGTCTTTGTCCAGGAGATCAGTGATAGGGACTAAGAAGGTCAAGACAATTAGATGAACTGTCCTCTCTCTGTTCTCAGACATGGATCTTCAGGCAGGAACAGCACATCCAGCACAGATCATGTAAGGAGAATGCACTTATTTCCCTCCTGTTTCCATGTAGGGAAACTGGACCAGCCTTCTTGGCCTCTGACTACAATCCCTGCTTAACTCCCATGGAAGAGGAGCAAGCTGTCTGATGAATGAATTGGGAAGGGGATGTTGGGCATGTTCAGCCTTTTTGGTAGGGAACCAGTGCTTTGGCTGGTGTCAGCTCTGAGGATGAGAACCTGACTCTGGTGGGAGATTCAGAGCAATAGCCTGAGACTTGCAGGCAAGTTTACATCTGGGGACAAACACACTTGGCACTAGGTCTAAAGCCACATTCAAATTGAGTTTTCAGTTATAATGATAAAACTTTAATTTCCAAAAGCCTGACTCATAGTAATTTTATCAATAGGTTTCAAACTCAACTGGGGATAGAATTTTAGCTCTCTAATACAGCAAGAGAGTATTTTAAATTTAACACAGAATTTGATGCTGAAATTAGCATTATAATTTGAAAATCCATAATTCCCAAATGTACATTATCTATAAATCTAATTTATTTAGAGATAAAAGCCCAAGCATTTCAAAACACAAGCACATAGTACTGTTTATTACCTGCAGGTGATGTAATAATATCTAATATGTTGACATGTTTTGATGAGTCCATAAAGGTCCAAAGACAGAAGTAGATAATTTCAACACTACATAAATGCCTACATTGTTACCAAACACTTGCAATTGAAATTACCTGAGTCTGGGAATCAACAGACAGAAAAGATGAACAAGCATCGTCTATCTGTAGAAAACAAAAATGTCAGTTATATCCTGGAAATAGAAAAGAGTAGAAAACGGATTTTACAAAGTCAAGTTATATACAAAACAGTGATCAAAGTTGCAAGACAGCTTATAATTCTGACTATGGAAGAGAGAAATCCCTAAAACTTTATGCAGCAAGTCCTGGAATTGGGATTTGCCCAAGTCTCACACCCAGCCACGGGGGTATACAGCCCCAAGAATAGTTGATAGGAATCACCAGAATGTATAAAGATGCCTCAAACATTGAGGGCAAGAACTTCTGGTTAAGCTTGGGAAATGTGAGAAGTGACTAAAGAATGACCTGAAAATTGAGCATCCTTGGTTACTGTTCTTTATTATACATGAATCCAATGTCACCTAAAACTTTTTTTTTAAGAGAGAGAGAGAGAGAGAGAGAGAGAGAGAGAGAGAGAATTTTTTTTAATATTTATTTTTTAGTTTTCGGCGGACACAACATCTTTGTTTGTATGTGGTGTTGAGGATCGAACCCGGGCCGCACGCATGCCAGGCGAGCGCACTACCGCTTGAGCCACATCCCCAGCCCTGTCACCTAAAACTTAACATGATAATTGCATGACACACATGCAGGAAATACTCTTAGGACCCCATGAACAATCCACCAGCTCTCCACCATGAAATCAGCATTAGATAAGAGTTCTATTTTATAACAAATATTTGTTGAACTATGGTTGGCAACTATCTGTTCTCAGCTTTTATTATAAAGAGAAAAAATTTGAGACTTTAATTTATAGTATAAGAGATTTCTATCAATCAAAAACACTACTGAGAATTTGAACACTAAGCTGGATTTCAAGAGTTGCTTATGCAGTCAGAGAAATGCAAATCAAAACCACCCTAAGATACCATCTCACTCCAGTAAGATTGGCAGCCATTATGAAGTCAAACAACAAGTGCTGGCGAGGATGTGGGGAAAAGGGTACACTTGTACATTGCTGGTGGGACTGCAAATTGGTGCAGCCAATTTGGAAAGCAGTATGGAGATTTCTTGGAAAGCTGGGAATGGAGCCACCATTTGACCCAGCTATTCCCCTTCTCGGTCTATTCCCTAAAGACCTAAAAAGAGCATGCTACAGGGACACTGCTACATCGATGTTCATAGCAGCACAATTCACAATAGCAAGACTGTGGAACCAACCTAGATGCCCTTCAATAGACGAATGGATAAAAAAAAATGTGGCATTTATACACAATGGAGTATTACTCTGCATTAAAAAATGACAAAATCATAGAATTTGCAGGGAAATGGATGGCATTAGAGCAGATTATGCTAAGTGAAGCTAGCCAATCCCTAAAAAACAAATGCCAAATGTCTTCTTTGATATAAGGAGAGTAACTAAGAAAAGAGTAGGGGTGAAGAGCATGAGAAGAAGATTAACATTAAACAGGGATGAGAGGTGGGAGGGAAAGGGAGAGAGAAGGGAAATTGCATGGAAATGGAAGGAGACCCTCAGGGTTATACAAAAGTACATACAAGAGGAAGTGAGGGGAAAGGGAAAAATAATACAAGGGGGACAAATGAATGACAGTAGAGGGGGCAGAGAGAGAAGAGGGGAGGGGAGGGGAGGGGAGGGGGGATAGTAGAGGATAGGAAAGGCAGCAGAACACAACAGACACTAGTATGGCAATGTGTAAATCAATGGATGTGTAACTGATGTGATTCTGCAATCTGTATATGGGGTAAAAATGGGAGTTCATAACCCACTTGAATCAAAGTGTGAAATATGATACATCAAGAACTATGTAATGTTTTGAACAACCAACAATAAAAATTAAAAAAAAAAAAGAGTTGCTTATGATACTTATTTCTTTAGTGACCTTTTCAGATGGCACTGGAAAAAATGGCACTGATTCTTTTGTGTCTGAAGTGATTTAGGTTGAATCCTGTTTATGGCATAAGATCTCAGAGACTTCTTCCCATCCCACAATCCTTTGTTGATCAATTTAATTTAATTTGCATTTTCACACCAAACTGAAAAGGGGCAGATTATCACACTTTTCAGTCATAAAATTCTCAAGCTCCTACTGCTGCCAACTTGATCGTGTCCTAAAATATATGTTTCTAATATGATCAACACACCACACATGATCAACTTCTTGAGGCAAGGTCAATATGACTTGTCCAGAATAAGTATCCAATAAAAATTCTTCAGCTGGGGCTGGGATTGTGGCTCAGTGGTAAAGCACTTGCCTAGCATGTGTGAGGCACTGGGTTTGATTCTCAGCACTGCATATAAATAAATAAAATATAAGTCCATTGACAACTAAAAGTATATATTTAAGAAATTCTTCAATTAAGTTGAATTGAATTTGCGAGAGAGAGAGAGAGAGAGAGAGAGAGAGAGAGAGAGAAAGAGAGAGAGAGAAAGTCAATTGAGAGGGAAAACCCAAAAGATGCTCTTTTAAGCTCTGAATTTTGACCAAAGCTTAATACACTGCCTCCAGCTATGTGGCCTTTGCTTTAGTTGGATAGGAGAACGTGGTTCCTCCTGGAACATTGGTGTTGCGGAAGTATCTGAAGACATTAACACTCAAGGGAAAAAGCAAGATAGAGAATAAATTCCTGGCTCTAAACAGTCTTTAAGAATATGGAAATTCACAAAGCCTGTTATGAGGGTCTCTGCCTTGGTAGAAATATAAAACAAGATGAAGAACAATTGAGACAAGAGATAATAATGTATAATACATTCTCTCTCTGCCCCCTCTACTGTCATTCATTTGTCCCCCTTGTATTATTTTTCCCTTTCCCCTCACTTCCTCTTGTATGTACTTTTGTATAACCCTGAGGGTCTCCTTCCATTTCCATGCAATTTCCCTTCTCTCTCCCTTTCCCTCCCACCTCTCATCCCTGTTTAATGTTAATCTTCTTCTCATTATTCTTCTCACCCTGGCTGCCCATCTCTGAGGTGGTCTGTGTCCAAGAACAGAGAACGCTCGAACCTCAGTACTAATGAATCAGTGCCTCAATGTTGTTTGAGTAAAAACATCAGAATTTCTAAAAGCCTAATTAATCAAATTAGGAAGTCATTGCAAAGCTTCCCAGTCTTTGTTCTTATTTTTTTGAAGGGTACAGCAACACTGCTTGCCTACCTTCCATTTGGGCATTCGGCTTATGGCTCTAAGGGTTTCAAGGACCCCTAAGTGCTTTTGAGGACTCTGAAAGATCATTGCTGAAGCTATGTGAAAATGGTTCAGTCTCTGTATAAGGTCAGGAAAGTATGTTTTTCTAGTGTCTGAATAGCTGTATAATTTTTAAAACCTCAAGCAGAAAAATTAACTATATGATCTAAGCATCTTCTTTAAATATCTTTTTCTATTTGATAATTTATTGTTTTAACCACTTAAGTTTCCTTCCAGCAATATTGTCTAAAATATTTTTCCAAAGATTTTCTATGAAAAAGTAGATGATTTCAAGCCAAAATAAATGTTTCTGTATTATACATTATTATCTCTTGTCTCAATTGTTCTTCATCTTGTTTTATATTTCTACCAAGGCAGAGACCCTCATAACAGGCTTTGTGAATTTCCATATTCTTAAAGACTGTTTAGAGCCAGGAATTTATTCTCTATCTTGCTTTTTCCCTTATGTATTTCATTGAGGTGGCCTAGGTACAAAGGGTATTCTCCCCAGTTCATAGCTCACATTAGCCTTGTTTTAGTATTTATTATTTCAGTATTTTGATTCACTCCCATTCCATCCTTCCATAGGCAATTCTTGATTTATTTGAGGTATATCCTACAATTTTGTATGTTTTTATAAAACATGTTTTGCTAAATGTATGGTATTTTCTTTCTTTGAAATTTCACTTAACTCTATACTTCAGGATCTATCCATGGTGCTGGGTGTACAATTAGTTTGTTGCTTCTAACTAGTGTACAAAACTTTATAATGTGTGTCCATCATATATTACCTATCCACTCCCCAAGAATGGACAGCTGTGTTCCAATTCTTTCCACTACAAACAAAGCTGCAACTAACCTCCTTGTAGGATTGCTGTCTTCTGCATATGGAGAATATCTTCAGCCAGGAGAGAGAATACTAAATTGTGGGGGTATCTAGGCTGCTTTCCAGATGGTTCCACCAGTTAGCAAGCCACCCTGACCAGCATTGCATGAGGGTTTGTATACCTTACATCCTTATGAACATAAGCCATTAACGATTTCTATTTTTTTTTTTTTTTGCCAGTCTAATGAGAAGGAAATAACACTGTCGTCTTAGTTTTCATTTATTTTTACCAATGAGTTTGAGCATCTCTCTAGATGTTTGTTGAGCTCTGGGACTTTCTTGTTTGTAAACTATCTGTTCTTATCCTTTGACTATTTTTATTTTGGATTCCTGTCTTTATCCAGTTGATTTGATGGTGATTCTTGAATGGTCTAGAGAAGCAATTCTATCAGTATTTTCCCTTAAAAGCTCTTACTTTTTTCCAGAGTTCCATATTGAAAGAAGACTTTTCTCTTAATGTAATTCAATTTATTATGTTCTTGGTATTATGATCTATATTTAAAATTTTATTTAAGAAGTCTTTCCTGACCCTAGCTCACAAAGATATTTCCTAAAATATCTTTTATTAACTCTAGAACTTGCCTTTTATGTTTAGATAGTTTATCCACCTGGATCTCATCTTTGTATTAGGTGTCAGTTTTATTTGCTCCATACAGTAAGCCAATTTGCCAAACAACCTTTTCTTTCCCCCATTGAGTTCTGGTGTTACTTTTGTTGTAGGTTAAGCTTATGTATGTGAGCATTTCTGTCTTAGCCTGGGTTCTGCCCAGAAACAGGCCTTGAGATAAGGATGTGCATGCAAGTAGATAATTTGGGAGGTGATTTCATTAAACACTGGTAGAAGAATGGAGAAGCCAAACAGAGAATAAAAGGAATCCAATTAAGGTATGTTATTGAGCAGGTAACTGGGGCATAATCTGTCCAGGGAACTCTGAAAGACAGCATAGAGCACATCTCAGAGAAATCTCAAATGAGGGGGTGATACAGCTAAGGTATTTATCTATCAGCTCCCCTTGGTCACCCACTGATAGCTGCTCTCAGTGGCTGGGGGCACTTCTGGTCACTTGAGCATAGGTAGGCCATGGACACCTATAAGTAGAAACTATTAAGTTTGGAGAACCCTGGGCTGGTGAATGCCAATTGGATGTTGCAGGGTACTGATGGTGACAGTTGTGTTCTCCAAGCTCTAGTCTCCATGCCAGTGGATCATTTCTCTGTTCTTGTGGCTTTGCCTTACCTTTTTTTATTACAGCAGTTTTATAGTATGTCTTAAGAATCTGGTAGGAAAAGTTCCTACTTTTAACTCTTTGAATTTAAAATGCCCTTAGCTATTTGTAGATCTCTTTTTAAAAATGTTTAGTTATACCTTTATTTTATTTATTTATGCAGTGCGGAGGATCGAACCCAGTGCCCCACACATGCAAGGCAAGTACTCTACCACTGAGCCACAACCCCAGCCCTATTAGTAGATCTTTATTTTTCTATGTCAACTTTAGTTTAAATTTAGAAATTGCTGTGTGTGTGTGTGTGTGTGTGTGTGTGTGTGGTGTTGAGGATCAAACCAGGGCCTTATGCATGCTAAGCAAGCACTTTACCACTGAGCTATAGTCCTCGACTCTTATGAGTTTCTTAAGAAACCTAAATGGAATTATTATGATTGGAATTGATTTGATTTTATGGGATTTACGCTGATTAATTTGGGGAGATTTGATACTTTATTATACTAAATTATAAATAATGCTGCCCCATATATTCACATAATCATCTATTTCCTTTATTAGAACTGAATTTGTTTTTTAAATATTTTTTAGTGTTGATGGACCTTTATTTTTTTATTTGTTTATTTATATGTGGTGCTGAGAATTGAACCCAGTGCCTCACACATATGAGGCAAGCACTCTACCACTGAGCCACAACCCCAGCCCCTAGAGCTGAATTTTATTCTACAAAATTATGCATAAATTTATTACATAATTTTGGTTAGGTTAATTCCTAAATATTTATATAGTTTTTGTTGCCACTGTAAATGATACACAGTTGTTTCTCAGTATCTTTAGGGGATTGTTTCCAACATCCTCCAACAACACCAAAACCTGTAAATGTTTAAATCCCTTTATAAAATGGTGTGATATTTGCATATAATCTACACTCACCATCCTGTATACTTTAAATCATCTCTAGATTACTTATAATACCAAATACAATGTAAATGCTATGTAAACAGTTGTTACACTGTCTAGTTTAGGGAGTAATGACAAGAAAAATATCTGTACACAGTAAAGGGAGACCCAATATTTTCTCCAATTATTTTTGATTCATGGTTCATTGAATCTGTAGCTGCAGAACTCACATATTTGCAGAGCCAATTATAATATTTTAAACTATATTGTTATTTTTTCTTGGTGAAAAGAAACATTCTTGGCTGTGTTTTTTTTTTTTTTTTGTCTTTTTGTTTTGTGATATAGGGATTGAACCCAGGGCCTTATGCATACTAGGCAAACACTCTACCACCCAGCTATATTCCCAGTCCTTTCTAAGATTTTATGTAAAAGGAAGACAGGGTTGAGACAGCCTAAGTTGCCAAGAAGAGCCTTAAACTGGTGAACCTCCTGTGTAAGTCTCCTGAGTATCTGGGATTATAGGCACATGACTATGGATGTTTGTATATTGGTATTATACCCCACATCTTCTGCACTCTTATTTTAGTTTTAATAGTCTGAGAGCAAGAAATTTAGTAATTTAATTCATCACAACTGTAGACTAAAGGATAAAAAGCATATTGCTTCTCTTCAACTAACACAAAGTACTTAGTTCAAAGTTTATTTAGGATTTTCAAAATGTAGTGAGATAGGAAAAGAAAGAAACTCCTTAACTAGATAAAAGGTGTATATCCAAATTCTAGAGCAAGTTTTATGCTGTATGGAGAAGCTTTAGAACACTGACTGTATAAGACAGTACACAGGGCATGGCCAATGAAATGAGGAAAGAAAGTGTTTCTTCAGAGCCTATCATATCATAAGTAAACTTTTCTTTGGCATCATATATTTTTCTAAGAATTTATCCATTTCCTCTAAGTTTTCAAAATTATTGCCATATAACTGACTATAATACTTATTCTTGGTAATAGTTTTACTGAGATATAATCCACATTCCATACAATTTACCCATTTTAAATGTACAATTAATAGTTTCTAGTGTATTCACAGAAATGTGTAACTATCACCAAAATCAATTGTTCAATTGATACTTTAAAATTTTAAATTTGAAATTGATACTTTAAATTAGTTTTAAATTGATATTTTAAATTAGTTTTAAATTTTAAAATTGATACTTTAAAAACTTTTAGTCTCCAGCTTTCTTGGTCATCTACCCTTTTCAGGGTTGTCTATAACTTGTCTATCTTCATTTTTTTTAAAATTTTAGGCTATAGTTAAAGCAATAGTTGGAAAGAAATTGTAGATAGATTGATATTATATATAGTATATTCTAACACATGTTCTAATGTGTGTTAGCCTACAAATTTTGATTTACAATGTTTTTGTCATTCAGTTCTAAGTATTTGTAATTTCCTTTTTACCCCAGGATTATTTAACAAAGTGCTACTTATTTTCCAAACAGATGGGATATGAAAATTATACATTCATTATTAACATCTTATTTTATGATATTATGGTTAGAAAAATTTAAGACATATCCCTTCCTATTTATGAAAACTTCCTTTCTATTCTACAACATATTCTATTTCTTTTAATGCTCCAATTATTTTCAATAAGAATGAGCATACTATCAAGTGTAAGTTTTTTAATAGCTCAAATTCATCTATTATATAATTAGGTATTTGATATATCCACTGCCTGTTATACACTTTAACTATCAGTTTCTGAGAGAGATGTATTAAAATTTCCAACTACAATTGTTGATTTACCTGTTTTTAAAAAATTGGGGTGGTTTTGGTAGTACGCATTAATAATGGCTGCACCTTCTTGTATGTTATTCTTTTATCAGCAAATATTTGTGTGTTATGATGGTTTGTTCATTTGAATTCTATTTTATCAGATATTAAGATTCCTACTCTGATTTTCTTTTAGTTCATATTTGCTTGGTACATCATAGTTCATAATTTTATACTTAGACTGATTTTGTTGTTGTTTCCTATTTAAAATGTGACTCTTACATGTAATTACTTCTGGATCTTTAACAATAATGAAAAAATTTTTCAAACCCTAAAATCCCCATTTTTTAAGTGGTATATTTTAGCACATTCACATTTATTATAGTTACCCTATTTTAGGACTTAATTTCTTATTACTTTACCATTTACTACAGTGATTGTTTCTTTCCATCTTTTTTTAATATTTATTTTTTAGTTGGACACAATATCTTTATTTATTTATTTTTATGTGGTGCTGAGGATCGAACCCAGGGTCTCGCATGTGCTAGGCGAGCGCTCTACCGCTGAGCCACAACCCCAGCCCCTCTTTCCATCTTTTATTTTAATAAAAGCAATACTTATATGGGAATGTTGGTAAAAATCTTAGTTATCTCAAAGCTCAATTACATTATTTAATTTTACCATGAAAATTTCAAAGATTAAAGTTTCCATTAATTTGTGTGAGAATAATTCTTTACCTCATTCCACAATTGTAGTTCTTGTTCAGGCTGGAATCCTTGAGGAAATATTGGAGCACCTAAAAGTCAAGTTACATCCACATGTTAATTTTATAGTATTTCTTTTAAAATTAAATATCCATATATAATTACTTTTCAGATTTTATTTCTCATTTTTCACTGTACATCATTAACCACCAACTTCAGTTAGATAGTTCAGCATTCAACTTTATAAAAGAAGACATAAAATAAACTTTAATAATACTATAAAGATATTCTTCTCAAGAATGAATCACTTACATGTCTACATAAAAACTTGAACATGAGTGTTCAGAGAAGCATTATTCATATTAGCCCAACAGGGCCATCATCAACAGGGGAGTAAATAAACAAAATATCTACACCATGCAATCCCCTTTGGCCATAAGAAAGAAATGAACTAATGATACATACAGCATGGATGAACCTTAGGAACATTGTGCTGTTAAATAAACTATTTGTAAGAAACCAAATAGTGCATGATTTCATGTATATAAATTGTCCAGCAAAGTTTATTTATATCTATAATCATACAAAGATTGGTGGTTGCCTGGTGCTAGGAGTGGGGATGGGGATTAACTGCAAATGTATGCAACTAATCTTTAGGGGTGATGGAAACATTCTAAAATTGCTTTGCCAAGATAACTGTATAACTCTTTAAAAATTTTTTTTTAGTTGTAGATGGACACAATATCTTTATTTTATTTACTTATTTTTTATGTGGTAGTGAGGATCGAACCCAGTGCCCCAGCCACTATACAACTCTTTAAGTTTACTAAAATATCACTCAATTATATACTTAAAACTGATGAATTTTATGGTATATAAATTATATCATATTAAAGGTCTTTTTAAAAAGCATTGCTTATAAAATAAAGAAAAACATTATTTGTTAGATCCTTAATTATTATTGAAACAAAAACATGACCTAGCTTACATCTTCCAAAATAACATTTTTCTCCATAAGTTAAATTTTCTAATTCATACTATGCAAATTATAAATATTATCTCAATGCTTTTTCTGTTTTTACTAATACTTAAATTCAATTAGCATTTAGGGTCTTATATTTATATAGTTGTCTTTACTAAAACAAGAAAACATGTTGTAAAATAAAACTATACTTTTTTTCTTTTACAGTACCCAGGACCAAACCCAGGGGTGTTGTATCACTGAACTATATGCCCAGTTCTTTTTCCATTTTTTACTATGAGACAGGGTCTGGCATTGATTTTGTGATTCTCCTGCCTCAGCCTCCTGAATAGATGGAATTACAGGTGTGAGCCAGCTAAATTTATTTTTAGAGATTTAAAATGTAGCAAAATTAAATACTTAAAAAAATCTTCTGGCCTATGTATTTTCAATATCTGAAAATCTACTGTACTACAGTTTGTAGTAGTTTATAAATAAAGGTGATTTGACTGTAAAAATAGTCCTAAAGAAGAGAACTTTTTAAAAAAACAAATGCTAACATTGCACCTATCAACATTGATCATTTATTTGATGCCTGATGTTATACTAAGAATTTCAAACGTCCTTTAATTTTCATATCAACCTTTCAAGATAGATGTTATTATTCCCATTTTAAGATGAGGAAATGGAAGAAAGAAAGGGTTGAGTAATTGCCCCAGGCCAACTAAAATATACATGTAGCAGAGACAGATTTCAAATACAGTATGACCCACTAGACCCCGAGAGCAACCCCACCATGAATTCTACCACTTTGTAGTCAAGTCTTATCTTGAGGTTTTACTATTTGATTTACATTCTAATAACATTAACAATAGTAATTAATTATATGTTATATGGTACTGAGTATTAGAAATAATTTATAGAGGTCATGGAGTCAGGACCTGGCTGAATCCATTTTCTCAGAACAACTATTTAGAACAACATCACTAATATCCTGTTGCCAAACCCAAACATAAGAGAGAATTATCTTTCCTTTTTCTTTTCTTTTTTGAGAATTATTTTTCTTTGTCTATTTGTTAACTAGAGTTGATGTGATTTCCCTCCCAAGATATTAGTCTGTATATTAGTCTGTTTCCATGGCTATAACAAAATCCTTGAGGCTGGGTAATTTTAAAGGAAATAGGCTTATTCAGCTCACAATTTTGGAAGCTACAGGTTCAAGATCATGTGGCCCTATCAATTCAGCCTCTTCTGAGGGTCCCCTGGTGGATGGGAGTCTCTGCAAGAGTGATCACATGGTAAAAGAGGAAGCCTAAAGCAGAGAGAGGAGGAAGAGGCCAGTCTTGCTTCTTAAAATAACATTGCATTCTTTCAGGAATTAAAGGGAGTCCCATGAGAGCTACCTTAATTCCTTCCAGGGGCAATGTTGCCAATGACCTAACTACCTCCCACTAGACCTCACCTCTTAAAGTCCCAACACCTCTTAGTACTGCCACACTGGGGGACCAAGATTCCAACATAAGAATGTTTGGGGGACACACTCAACCCATATCACCTTGATGTGGGCTTTATACAGTACTTTTAAAAAGCAGAATTCAGGTCACTTTCCATATTTTCACAGTGTCACTATCTTCTGTATCATAAAAACTGTTACTGTTTTTGATCTGTTTCATTGACATATTTATACTCCAGTCCTATCTAGTAAAACAGAACTGATTATTTAAAAGATGGTGTCAACTTTCTTTTCTCATTAATGGTACTTTAGTGAAGAGTTAGAAAATGAGAAATTGTTACTACTGACTGAATGTTAAGAATTATTTGGTGAATAGGGACCTAGATAAGAAAAGACACGACTGAATTTAGTCTTGGGCATTTGATCACTTATTGTCAGAGGCCTATTCAAGTGATTGTTTGCTGCAGATATTCAAATTGTGGTTTTTAAATAGGAAATTTCCTTCTTTTAATAATGTTCTATGAATGAACTGTCTCTATCCACTAAATCTGTGGCTGGTCCATTCTCTAGCTAATGTATGCTCTGCTAATTCATTTTGTGCTGAGGATACTGCATTTATTGACACTATTATTTTCCTCTGGCTTTGTTACATTTGTTTTGTTGTTTTTAGATATATCCAGTTACATTTACATGATGATTGATTATGGTAGATTGTCTCCAAGTTTTGCTTATATATGGCCTCCATCACCCCACCACCACCATCATCTTTTAGGACTCAGGACTAAGGCAGATCACACTGACCTCTCCCCAAGCCCCACCACAGCACATTTTTAGAGAAAAAAATTAGGTTTTTATTATTAAGTCAGGTCTGAAGGAGAATGAAGATACAAAGGGACAGTCTAGAGGGTCTCTAGGTAGCCAAGGAAGCATCTCATTTTTTTGCTCCAAAAAATATTGAGGATATTCATGAGACAATTAGTTAGCCTGCAGATCTGCTCTTTTGGAAATAAAACCTGACTTATCCTTTTAGGAACCAGCAGCCATTGTTCCTTCCATTGTTACTGCTCAATTACCAGCAGCCTGAACTGGCCCCTCCCCAAGGCAGTTGTCTCCCACCAATACAAAAAAAAAAAAAAAAAAAAAATCACTGCAAGCACACAATTGGTAACATGCATGGAAAGAACAGTTTCTTTATGAGCTTTACTTTAAAAGCTCTAGCTGCTGTGACTCTACCTTGTGTACAACCAGAGACAAATTTGTGCTCTATTTGTGTAGTATGAATTGAATTACATGCTGTGGTCATATATAACAAATTAGAATTTAAAAAAAAACTATCTGAGAGCTGGGGTTGTGGCTCAGTGGTAGAGTGCTCACCTAGCATGTGTGAGGCACTGGGTTCAATCCTCAGCACCACATAAAAATAAATAAAAATAAATAAAGTCATTGTGTTCATCTACAACTAAAGAAAAAAATATATTTTAAAAACGATCTGCTTTCTCAAGAAGGCAATGGTTATCAGCTTAATTTTTCAAAAAACAAACTTACAATTGAAAAGGAGGAATATTTACCTTGTGTAGGTCATATCACATCACTACTGCCTAGGTGGAGGTTTAGGTCTAATTAGCTTAAATCCAATAGCTTAGATTTCACAGTTAAACTCTCTTGCTTTTCCAGTCAGGGACCCCTCTCCCCCACTCCAAGGCCTCCGGAAAAGTGAAAACCAAAACAATGAAATGAGGACAAAAATAAGAAGATTAGGAAAAGAATAATAGCCTCTGTTTCCCCATCTCTAATTGAGGGCTGGGCTGAGCTCTGAAAGATACCTGCATTTGTGATTTTAAGTTCTCAACGTTTTGAAAAGTGACAAAACAGCCCACCTCTACCACACTCACAAAAGAACAGAGGAAAGCTAAAAGAACCTGAGGCTAACCTAAAGAATTCATGGCTGTAATAGGGCAAAGAGTGGCACTGAAGGGGTCCCCAGAGTTCAGGGATGAATGGTAGTACCCCAGAGAACCAGGCAAGGTAATCTTTAGAGAATAAAGGAAATAACCCCGCTTAGTGCTACACGCCTGTAATCCCAGTTGCTTGGGCGGCTGAGGCAGGACAATCTCAAGTCCAAAGCCAGCCTCATCAATTTAGTGAGACCCTCAAATACTCAGCAAGACCCTGTCCCAAAAGAAAAAAAAGAAAAAGAAAAAGAACTGGAGATGTAGCTCATTCACAGAACACCCCTAGGTTCAATCCTAATAATAATAATAATTATTATTATTTAATATAATAATAATAATAATTATTATTATTATCATCATTGTTATTATTATTATTTAAAGGGGAATCAGGGAAGTGATCTTTCTACTAGTACGTTTATACCCTGACACGTCTCCAAAGCTTCAGATCTCCATCCTGACCTGCCTTTCTTATGTGGTTCCTCTAGGCCAATCTCGAAAGTCCCAATTTTTATCAAACCACATCTGCCACATCACTGGCTTTAGCCTTGCACGATTGCGTCTCTAACTTTGTGTGGTGAGAAAGTTTCTACTCGTTTTCCAGACCTGCTGCCTGAAAATTTGCAAGACACAGAACCCTCTCTTTTCCCTTTCTACTTGGCTAGAATGGACCTGGTTCGCTGCTCAGGAGTACCTGAACAGAGCGCGAGCTCACTCACTGCAGAGGTTGGGGGCACTCCAAGCACCTCTGCCACAGCAAGTGTAGCATCAAACTCTGGTTTTGCCTCAACCACGGACGCCTTCAATAATTGCAATGAAAGGGAAAGCTTTTGAATTTTTTCTGATTTCCGTTACCCACGGGCCATGGGCTGTGAGTAGCGCCCTTCAGGTCTACACCGCCAGCAACCTGCTGGGTGTCTGGAGATCTTTGCCGGGGCCCAAAAGCTCTCGGAGCCGAGCCACCCCACTGCCCAGCTACAGCGACTCCCGCCTGTGGTCAAGACCGAGAACCCGCGAGGTCCGCGCACTAGGGAACGGTAGGTCCTAGAAGCCAAGAGGAAAGGAGAGCAGTGGAACCAAGAGCGAGCGGCGGGGACAGCAATGGAGAGGCGCGGAGAAGCGGGCCTGCTGGACGGCGGCGGGCACCTGGCAGGTTTGGGGCCGTCTTACCTCCGCAGGCGCCCGTGCACCAGGCGAGCAGCAGCAGCAGGAGCGGGGACACCACAAACACCTGTCCCGGGGCTGGCCCGGGACGGCGGCTGGTTGATCGCGGCATCTCGGCGCTTCAGGGCAGCTCGGACCTCTGGACTTGGGACTCTGCGCCTGCAGCCTTGGCTCCCTGGTTATGCCTCCGCGTCCCTGGAGCTCAGCTCGTGGGTCCGACCACTGAACGCGCCTAGCGCGCCACCAACTTTTAAATCTTGTGCACACGTGGGCTTGGGTGGCGTGGTCCCAACGCGCGTCACTTCGCAGCCCGCCGCCCCCGGACTCCTTCGCGTCACCAGGACCCGCACATCGCCCCCATCACACGCTGCTGGGGGCCATTCACCCCTGGTCTGAGAATCTGACTCAGGGCACCACCCGATTTCGCTCTGGGATGGGGGAATTAAAATAATGCACGTCCACTCCCACCTTTAGAAGGATTTGGGTGGGAGCAGGAGCTGGATGGTAAACTGAGACGTCAGAAGGGTCCGGGGTTGTAAATAGTCAGTGGCTACTCCTGAGTCTGCCTGGGGCGCCCCTTCTTTCCTTTCCCTAGGAAGCCTTCCTCTGCCACACTGGTCTCTGCGGGGTCTCCTCGCCTGAAGCTCCAGAGGTCCCAACTGCACCCGGCGCCAGGTGGGAACACCTGATTTGCTTCCTTGGTTTAGCACCAGCTCCTCTCACAATGCCTGATGCTATTAGGACGACGCTCCTTTTACCTTGATGTTGATTCTATTGCCCATCCCCCAAATCACTGCTAAGTCTACCCATTTAGGAAAATGCTCTTGTCTGTTACTGAAAGGTCAAGAAGAAAGGACAATTGGGGCTTGGTCCTACACATATTTCTAACAGGTTTGAAAGTGCGGTTGTCCTATGGATATCCCAGCCTAAGAGAACTCCTTTATCTATGAATTTCTGCAGCTATGGCATTCTGACTTCCTCTAAACCTCTCCCCTCCTTGGTGTGGATGCCCAGGAAGCAGCCTTTTCCAGGACACTTGCTGATACAAGTCTAATTTCCTTCTGCAGAAAAAGGGAAAACTGATCTAACTGACCTCCTTTGAAAGGTGAGGAACAATGAAGAAGGAAGTTCATTGCGATTTTTAAAGGGGCATTTTTGTGTCATGTACTTTCTTGGGCTATTTCATTTAATATTCATGATATCTTTGTGATGTGAAGTATTGTATAAAGATTCTAAAAAGTATTTTTAAAACTCATGTAAAAACTATGGTAAAATACATTAAATATGTTTAAAGATTTTTATTTGATGATGCTTGGAGAGATTAAAGAATTTGCTCAAGGATATGGACAGTGAGGAGCCCCTATGATATTTCTCCCTAAACCAAAAGTCTTCATGTCAGGCACTACTGTGAAACCTATTGTAAACAAGGCATCGCCATTGGCAATACAACTTTTAGTAACAGCAGGGCCTTTCCTAAAGGAAATTAGAATATGATAAAGGACCCCAAACCCATTCACAAATAGCTGTGATTACAAGAGAGACTACGCTAGTGCAATGTCAGAAATAGAGAGGTAGAAGGAAAACTCTGACACAGCAGGTGAAGAATAATGGCTACCATTTTTAACACATGAAAAAGACCAAATTATAAAGACTGGTGTAGGTTCAATGATGGATGAGAATAGATTTGATTGAATTATTTACACTTTGATTTATTGCCAAAGTAGTAATAAATAAATGTTATGCAAAAGATGTAAATGATCTGAAGACGTCGGTAAGGATGGCAGGCAGAGGAACATGGTTCCCCTGTCCCTTCCTAGTGCTTCTCATCCATGTGCTGAAAGATGACTAGTCTCAGCAACCAGTGTGGCCAGCTGTCAGTGAGAATAGAGAACCTGAATCAGTAGGCTGAATGCTTTCTCTACCCCTATCAGTCAGTAAAAGAAACAACTTGTGTGTTACAAATTTTTTCTGCATGAATGTTCTTGTATGTGTGCATTGGTGCACATGTGCAAGAATTATCCGAAGTATGTACCTAAGTAGAGTTATTAAGCCATAAGGGATGATTTAGTTAAGCTCTAAGAAGTTTTCCAAAATGTCACACTAATTACACTCCCACCAGCAGTGAATGGAATGGTCCATGGCTGCACATCTATGCAAAAATCTTTGTCAATCTGGTGGATGTGACATCTCAGTGTGAATTTAATTCACAAATCCTTGTTTACTAATGAGTCAGTTGAAGCTTCTGCCTTGTCTGTCTTTTTATACATGTATCAGCCATTATTTTCTCCACAGTGAAATGCCCACTTATCTCTTTTTCCCATTCCCCCTTGGATAGTTAGGGTTTTTTATTGTTTGTTTGTTTTGTTTTGTTTCATGATTATAGGAATGATTTATTTATTCTGGAACTTTTGTTGATTAAATATCTGACAAAAATGTCCTCCCTCTTTATGACTTCTCCTTTACTATTTTAAATAAGAGTTTGTATTTTGGGGAGGTGGATACTGGGGATTGAACTCAGGGGTGCTCAACCACTGAGCCACATCCCCAGCCCTATTTTGTATTTTATTTAGAGACAGGGTCTTGCTGAGTGCTTAGCACCTTGCTTTTGCTAAGGCTGGCTTTGAACCCATGATCCTTCTGCCTCAGTCTCCCGAGCCTCTGGGATTACAGGTGTACACCACTGTGCCTGGCTAGAGTTTGTATTTTTGAAAAAACATTTAAGGAAGACTTGTAGACTTCAGGTCATGCCATATGTGAGTTTTAAGACAAGATGGATGGGGTGGGGTGGGGGACAGACAGGCACTTTATTTCCTTAGAAACCAAAGTTGGGATCGAATGACTAAATGGAAGTTGATTGCACAGGTCCCCTTTTGGCCAAGCATTCCAAAACAACTAAATTCCAGATCTCTGCATGGAGCCTTGATAATGTAATTACAAGCATTCAGATGTCACTAGAAAATCACATTCACTTAAATTGAACTAGTATATAGGCATGTTCCACCAGGAGGAGTGGAGCATGGCAGACACTTACAATGACTCTGTTCCAGACTAAAAGTTTGATTCTTAGTATCATGTTGATTCCTCTTACCTATTGCCATTTATATTCTTGACTACAGATTGGCAACGGGACTTTGCTCATTACTGATGACCTATAAGAATGAAGGCTTAATTAGGTTATGAGACTGCAGATTAGCAAAAGCTGTTTGTGGTAGAAATGTCCTAAAAAGCTACCATGAAAGGCATTAGAAGAGTAGGATAGTGGGGTGCCAAGAGAATGCGGAATTAGCAATGGATAGAAATCTGGTCAAGTACTAGTTGGTAACTGGAAATTCTAGAAATAGGCAAAGAAATGCAGTTTCAGAAACTGGGAATAGAGGGAAGATTTGAAAGGCCTGAGAGTTCTAGGCAAGATAATCATGCAGACCTTTAAATATTATTTGAACTCCCACTAGAAGTTTAATTAAGATACAACAGTGTTCAAGTCTCTGCCTTGACGAAGTTGGCATATTTTTAAAGAGTTAGATAATAAACTAGTAAACAAAAAATAGCAACTACAGACAGTGATAAAAAGCTATAAGTAAATTATAGCAAGATAATAAAATAAAAGAATATAACTGGGAGTTGAGGAAAAGATTCTGGAGACAGGATCATCTAGGCATGGCTCTCTGAGGAGGGGATGAAAGAAGAAGAAACCGAGCGTGGGAAAAACTATGAACAAAAGCACCCCAGACAGAGGAACCTCAAGTGCAAAGGCCCTGAGTCCGAAACAAACTGGGAAAAAAAATTCAATATCCTAAGAGGAAGGAGCCAAAACCATAAGGCCATATAATTGCAGCAATATGTGAAATCCAGAATAAGCAAGTCTTAGAAAAATAGAATTGTAGTTTCAGGAGCTGGATAGTATGAATGCTATGAATATTCTTTTGGGAGGCTGAATATTCTGGAATTAGATAGTAATGATGGTTGTGCACTCTTGTGAACAGAATAATCAACACTGTTTCCTACACCCTGAGTGGATGAGCAATACGTATCTGAATTTTATCTCAAATTTAAGAAAACACAGAAGTCCAGGCCAGGTATGATGACAGGTTGGACTGGATCATGGCAATCTTTGCAACTTAGCAATATGCCTATTTTTGGCATGAAATATCTGAATTTTGCTACGTTGCCCTGAGAGAGATTTTCTTTTGAGAAACATAATAAAAAAATTTTTTAAACAACAAAGTCAGTAGCTTTTTGCAGTTACATCGATGCCCACAAGGCTAGATTTTTCACATGATAGATGTTCTAGGAGAAGGGCCATTATTAAAAGTAGCAAGGCTACTGCTAATTTGAAACATGACATTAAAAGAATTCCAATCCATTGAAGGCAGGATCTGTTCTTTGTTTCTTAAATTGCAATTAAAATATTAATACATACTAATAAAAGATTTATTAGGTTTTCTTGACATATTTATGAATCACATCCGGACAAAGCTGGCAGAAAAACAGATACTTCTAAATTTATGAGGTTTTATAAAAATGGAACCTAAAATTAAATGATAGCTATAAAAATACAAGGACAGATAAGTAATTTTTATTATTTCTACACAGTAAATTGTATGACCTTTTTTTTATTGCTAGTCTGGTTTTCAATCTATTTAAAATGAACCAAAACATATTTTCTAAAATTATCTGGTATTTATGAAACAATACATAAATTCCTTATATAGACATGCTCAGATTAAGATTGTTATTGTATTAGGTTGAAGTTAATTGAAAAAGGAGAAAAGAAAAAAGTGGATATAATTTGACATTTTTAAAAAGTTAAAATAATCAAGAAACTTGGAATACATTTCTGAATAGAAAAAACAAGTGACATTTTAGTCAATGTCATAAAAGGGGCAATACCATTTCAGTTTTAGCTCTGATTTTTTAAATTGACCGTACAGATATGAAATGCTGAGAGTTGTATATGTATTTATGTCATTATGTTCTGAATTAAATACTAGTTGATATCATTTAAGCTATTTATGCCCCAAGAAGAATAAAATTAGCTAATGTTGAGTAGTTTATTCTCTTTACTCATCTGCAATCAAATTTCTTTTTCTCAAAAATTAATCAGAGGTCCTCTTTCTGTTTTCACCCATTAGTGTGATTTCTGACATAAGCTATTTTCAATCAGTGAATTTCAACCCTAATTTAAAAGTTTATAATGGCTTAAAAAATAAATAAGACAATAT